CCACAGAAGAGCAACCTACTCAGCAGTAAAGGGGTGAATGACTGATAAGACTCAACAATCTGGATGGGTTCTCAAAAAACTGTCCTCAGTGAAAGTAGCTGAGCTCAGGAGAGTACATGTTTATGGTTACATGCAGGTGAAATCCCAATCCAATCCATATGTCTAGAAGGTGCACTAGGCTGGATTGAACACAAAAGGGCATATAGTACATTTGGGGGGTGATGGAAATTGTGTGTGTTCAAAATGGCGTTAAAACACTGATGAGCATTCAGATCATCGCTATTTCTTGGCTTTTGTGGAAAATGAACAATGCAATGAGCTTGAGAGTGCAGCTCTCTCTACAAGTTGCTGATTCCATTTGCTTTTGGCGCATGCCCAGCAGAAGGATTGCTGGGTCATGTGTTAGTTCTATTTTTAATTTTTCAAGGAACCTCCAAGTTGCTTTCTCTCAAGGCGGTGCCAAGTTACATTCCCACCAACAGCATACACAAATTCCTCTTACTCCATACCCCGATAACCCTTGTTATCTCTTGACTTCTTGATGATAGCCACTCTAGCAAGTACAAGGAGACATATCATTGTGGTTTCGGTTCCCATTTCCTTGGTGATTAGTGATGTTGACCAGCTTTTCAGAAAGGCGTTGACTATTTGTTTGAGGTTTTTGGGGGGTTTTTTTGACATTTATATTTGTCTAAAAATGCCAATTCAGGTGCTTTGCCCATGTTTCAGTGTGGTTATTTTATTTTTGATATTGAGTTGTGTGACTTCATTGTATATTCTGGATATTAACCCCTTGCAGATATATGATCTACACATATTTTCTCCGTAAACATTGGTGACTTTTCACTCTGTTGATTGTGTCTTTGGCTACGGGGAAACATGTTCGTTGGAGGTACCCTCATTTGCTTATTTTTTGCCTTTACTGCCTGAGCTTTTGGTGTGATACTTAAAAGTCATTGCTAAGGCCAGCTTCAAGCAGCTTTTCCCCTGTTTTATTTTAGAAATTTTATAGTTTCAGGCTAGGTCTTGAACCTGTTTTGAGATAATTTTTGTGTGTTGTATGCACGGTTTTTCCTTCCTTTTTTCTTTCTTTCTTTTTTTTTTTTTTTGTTATTGTTGTTTGTTTGTTTGAGATGAGGGTCTCACTGTTTTTCCCAGACTGGTCTCAAATCCCTGGGCTTAAGTGATCCTTCCACTGAAACCTCCAGATTAGTTGGAACTAAAGGCATGTGCCTTCATGCTCGCCTTCTGTTTTCTATTAATATATAGTCATCATCATTCTTGACAATACGTTGAGGTTTTCCTCATTTTTTACTATGGTCACATAGTGTTGAACTCCACGAATATACCACACTTTATTCAGCCAGTCTCTAACAAGTGGGCATTTAAGCTGTTTTCAACATTTTGCTGTTATAAATGGTGTTGAAGTTAACAACTCTGCATATGTTTTCGTACTCTGTAGGCGCTATACTTTTGGGGTCATTATTTTAGTGGTAGAGTAAATGTGTGTCTGCTTTTGTTAGAAATTTCCAGTCTTCTCCATTCAGGTTTGTGCCATTTGGAATTCCCATCAGCCATGTGAGGACATGCCCAGTAGCACAGCTGTCTGACTTGTGTTTCTGCTGATTTTGATGGCCAGGAAAGAGTATTCCAATATAGTTTTAATTTGCATTATTTTTTAGCATCCACATATCAGAGAGAATATTCTGCCTTTGGGTTTTTGGGGACTGGCTTATTTTACTTAACATGATAATCTCCAGTTCCATCTATTTACCGAGAAATGCCATAATTTCATTCTTCTTTATGGCTGAGTAATATTCTATTGTTTATATATACCATATTTTCTTTCTGATAATCATCTTTTTGGCCTATAGAACTGCTCTCTGAAGATTCACTTTACTCAACTTTCTCCTTTACTTATCCACAGTAGTTAACTAGGCCAAGACATATCTTCTTCCCCTGTGTTAAAACTGAGATTATTGATTTGGTAATTCATTTTTATCATAATTTAGTGACTTTTTATAACATATCTTCTTAAAATTCACCAATGATAAACCACCTTCAGAGCCTCCTTTTCCTGGATCACTGTGTCCTTGGAGGTTGATTTTCTCTGTCATTAGTTTGGTGCTTCTGTTTCATGCTTTTAGTTGTCAACAAGTGTTTGAGAATTATTTTCTATTTAAGTTTTGAATAGAATTGAAAGTCTAGATTGAACATCATTGGTTTTTGCAGTGCATTTTCTCAGCGCAAATGATAGTCCTGTTCTTGATCTTCTCTTTCACACACATGCAGCTCCAGATTCTTCTGTTCTCAAGAATCTCTGATCCATTCACGTTATATGCCCTATCAGTGCCCCACTGTGAGAAAGAGAAAACCTCAATTGAAACTTTTTAAACCATAGAGTTACTGTTTAGCTCCCCCTGTATGTAAGCATGGCTACGGCAGTCAACAGACTGGTGTCTCTGAGGGTGTGCCCTGGCTCAGCACTGAACTTCAGATAGTGCTCTCTTGTCTAGATGACATTCTAGGGACTTGGGGTCTGAGTCTTAGCTTTGCAGGTTCAGTATTTCTCATCTTTTCATGGTGGCTAGTGGAGAGATTCTGATGCTCATACTTTAATTTAGACCACAAAAACCCAGCTTTTCACTGACTTCGTTTATTAAAAAAAAATTAATTTCATGAAATTTATAAATAGAAGTCCTCATGAGATTAAGACATTTTCCATTTAATTTTGTATACATATTTAAAGTACTATTTTTTTAAAGTCTCATTTTTTTTTTATAGTTATCAAATTAAGGATAGATTGTCTAGGTGTTGCTTGAGAAAAATAAATGTCAAAGAACCCGAATATTCTGTTTGGCCTAGCTAATGACTTCTACTGTCATTGGGCATGTGGACATGGGAAGCAAGATTATAGTCATAGGATATTTGGTCAGCCTGGAATCAGAGCAAGAAGAACTAGTTGATGGTTTTAATGGTTAGTGTTTCAAGGAGAGAGAGCGTCGTCTCCAAGTTGTAGGGTGATATCTTTATATTCTGGAAAGGATCTGCTGTGGGGACCACGGTTCTCCCATCAGTTAGAGCTCTGCCAGCCACTGAAAAAGAACAGCACAAACACTGTGTGAATATGTTGTCGATTGACCTCCATTTTTTGATGTTTTCTAAAAGCTGCCTTCTTCCAATTGGCATAGCTCTACCTAACACAAGGCCAGAACCAGCTCTGGGATCTGAAGCTTACAGAGGTCACTCTGTCCCTGATAATCCCACTAAGTGTCCAGGTCTCCATCTCCCACTTTGGGCTTCTGGGTATGTTGAGCTCCTAAAAGGATGGGTGACCCATCAAAAGTAAACCCATGGTGCTAAGCAAAACCCCCTCGCATGCATGTGTCACTGCTGTTGGGCAGGCAACGATGGGGTGCCATTCCAGGGGTTCAAGTCCTCGTGGATCAGGTGACAGAGGGGCTCACTAGAGTTAAGGCCAGTGAACTCTCCTCCTCCACCATTTGAGATGGTAATGATTCTTCACTAGCACTACGAGTTTGGCTTTCTGTAGGCTTTATCTGGAGAAAGAGTACAAAGTTTATAAAGAAGTCTCCTTATACGAATAGAAATATGATTTCCCGTTAACTTTGTAATAAAATAAATAAACATGAACTTCAGTCTAGAATATTTAAGGTGAGAGTATTCAGTAAGCATTTTAGGATTTCCTTTGAAATGTTCCTTTAGAGAACTTTTTCTCTAAAAAATGTGCAGAGCAGAATTCATGCCAAGTCGTTCTGTCCTCCTTCTAACACATCTCCACACCCAGGGAGGTGAGATCTGCCCACTCTGTTCTCCTAACTCTCCCCCATATGAGCAGAGGCAACAGGTCTCCAGGCCTGCTGTGCCCGGGCTCTGCTCGGAAGCCTTGTGCAGGGCCTTCCTCTGATCCAGGGTGCGTGTGTCTTTTGCAGTTGTGAAGACGACCTCTCCGAGGACAGAGACGAGCTCCTGCATGGGATTTCAGAGCTGGACATCAGCAACTCTGACTGCTTCCCATCCCAGCTGCTAGTGCACGGGGCCTTAGCCTTTCCCCTGGGGTTAGATTCCTACCATGGCTGTGTGATAGCAGCTGCCCGCTATGGCCGGGGCCGGGTGGTTGTGACTGGCCATAAAGTGTTATTCACAGTGGGGAAACTGGGCCCCTTTCTGCTCAATGCTGTCCGCTGGCTGGATGGGGGCCGCAGAGGCAAGATCGTGGTGCAGACAGAGCTGAGAACGCTGAGCGGCCTGCTTGCGGTGGGGGGCATAGACACCAGCATTGAGCCCAATCTCACCAGTGATGCGAGTGTCTATTGCTTTGAGCCTGTGAGTGAAGTGGGGGTCAAGGAGCTGCAGGAGTTTGTAGCAGAGGGCGGCGGGCTATTTGTTGGAGCCCAAGCCTGGTGGTGGGCCTTCAAGAACCCAGGGGTGTCCCCTTTGGCTCGATTCCCTGGAAACCTCCTCCTCAACCCCTTTGGCATCAGCATCACAAGCCAAAGCCTCAATCCAGGGCCCTTCCGTACCCCGAAAGCAGGGATAAGGACCTATCACTTCCGTTCCACCCTGGCTGAGTTCCAGGTTATAATGGGCAGAAAGAGAGGGAATGTGGAGAAGGGCTGGTTAGCCAAGCTGGGCCCAGATGGTGCAGCCTTCCTCCAGATCCCTGCAGAAGAGATCCCCGCCTACATGTCCGTGCACCGACTCCTGAGGAAGCTGCTCAGTCGCTATCGGCTCCCCGTAGCCACCCGAGAGAATCCCGTTATCAATGACTGCTGCAGGGGGGCCATGCTCTCCCTGGCCACCGGTCTGGCCCACTCTGGAAGTGACCTCTCTCTGTTAGTCCCGGAAATTGAAGACATGTACAGCAGCCCCTATCTGCGCCCTTCCGAGTCTCCCATCACCGTGGAGGTCAACTGTACCAATCCAGGTATGGAATGAGCCTGGGAGCAACTTGGGAACTGCTGGGATTGGGGCATATGATTGCAGCACTTCATTTGGGGGTCTGACTTCTGCAGATGATTGTCTCTATCCTTGTCCACTTATCCTTTGGAGAAGTCAGGGGCTGAGGCTTGCAGTGCTGTTTGGAAGAGATTGATCAGGGTAGCTCAGAAGGGAAAGGGTGGGCAGAGCTCTTGAAGGATCTGTGGAGGTGCCAGGTTGCGTGGAGTCATGGAGGAGGGATAAAGTCTACCCTTCTGTGCTTTTGACAGGCACCCGATACTGCTGGATGAGCACCGGGCTCTACATACCTGGAAGGCAAATCATAGAAGTCTCATTGCCAGAATCTGCTGCCTCTGCAGATCTGAAGGTGAGGCCATGCCCTGCCCATCACATAACATGTACCCAAGACTCTTGCCTTCCCCACTTGTATTTTATTTGGTCCTCATAAAACCCTACTGGCAATATAAGTCACGTATCTATGCCCACATTATAAGGATAAGCCAGTTGCATTGCAGACAACGTATAGACTGAAACGTTTCAGAGCTCAGGACTCAAGACTAGCCAACTGCTGGTTCTTAAGTATTGTCCTTTTGACTTGTGTCAGAGAGGGAGGAATAGAGGCATCAAACGGAAGTTAACCTACCCCTCCACAGGGATTGAATAAATCTCAGTTCACTTTCTATGCCCATATATTTCTCTGGTTGTAGCACAAGCTCCCTCTCACCCTGGCTTCTTCCCCATAACACCAAAGGTGGTATCTTGATTGCTGGCGTCCATGGTCTGCTTTTTCACTTCCACATGCAGATACCCCATCTGGCTCTACCTCCCCAGATGACCATTGGCTGGTGGAGCCTAGTCTATGCCCTTCCTATCCTGGCACTTGTTTAGCATAAACCAGGGAGACAATCCCATGGTCACCAGGTATAGGAGTCACTTCACCTTTCCAGGAAGGGGGGCCTTGGAGAGAGGGGCAGGACTGAACCAACCCTCCACTTCATCAGCGGGATCCCACTGAAAAACATCGGGTCCCCTCCACTCATCAGTGCCAGGTCCACCACTGCAGAATCTGCAAACTAGGACTCTCTTAAAAGACACTGAGGGACCATTTGTGGAGTCAGTGCTCCTTGGAATTTGTCTTACTGGTTACACCTGCTTCTCCTTATGTTAATGATTCTGCACGACCCACTGTAGAGATATTGGAATCCCTCACAAGAATAATTCACCCATAGTTAGTCCATAAGACCTGCGGGGGGCTGTGATTTCATGGGCTCTCTGACACAACTCATTGATGGTACATGGGGTCGTGGCCCTATGACCTTCCTGAGCCTCCGCCTCCTGCACTCTCTCCTGTCACCCACCCATGCCCTGTGGTGACTCTGTTGGGGGGATTTCTCTGCCTCAGATCCAGATTGGCTGCCACACGGATGACCTGACCAGGGCCAGCAAGCTGTTCCGAGGCCCCCTGGTGATTAACCGGTGCTGCCTGGACAAGCCCACGAAGTCCATCACCTGCCTCTGGGGTGGCCTCCTCTATATCATTGTGCCTCAGAGCAGCAAACTGGGTTCTGTGCCCATCACCGTGAAGGGAGCCGTGCATGCTCCCTACTACAAGCTGGGTGAGTGGAAGCTGTGGGCTGCATGCCGAGGGAGGCGGAGGGCTGGGACGAGGAGGGGCTTGAGGGCTGTTTGATGTAGGAGAGAGACACACAGCCTGGTGGGACGGAGGGTGGCCTCCTTAGATTCTGCTCTGGGGCCAGGAGATAAACACCACACCATATCCATGGGGACGTCCCAGGATAAAGAGGAGGGATGTATTGCTCATGGTCTTGTCGTTCGTTCCCCTCCTGGGGTCTGAGTTGGATGTTTTGACTTAAGGTATTTGGGAAAGCATGTTCCAAGCCCCCCTGGCCTCTCTTCTAGGGGAGACATCTCAGGAGGAATGGAAGAGGCGTATCCAGGAGAATCCAGGTCCCTGGGGAGAGCTGGCCACGGACAACATTATCCTGACTGTGCCAACTGCAAATCTGCGTGCTCTGGAGAACCCTGAGCCACTGCTCCGCCTCTGGGATGAGGTGATGCAGGCGGTGGCACGACTGGGAGCCGAACCCTTCCCCTTACGTCTGCCTCAGAGGATTGTCGCTGACGTGCAGATCTCAGTTGGTGGGTGCCCTGACCCCTCTGCACGCAGACCCCAAGTGCCTTTCCACAGCCATGCAGTAGGCAGCCAGGAGGGTACACATGCTTTGCTAGCAAGACATGTAGACATACTCCTTGCTATTTAAATAGCTAGGGAAAAGGTTATGTAAGAAATAAATAGCCATGTCCATCAGCATGTCAAGAGATGTCATCAAAGACATCAAGGGATGCTACCTGATCCTTCACAAGTGTCCAAATGGAGACATCGAGAAGTGGGTAGAGACAGCAGAGGGCCTTGAATTAGCCCAGAGTCACTGAGAGACACTGAATGAAGACTCCTTTGCCTATGGGTGACGGAGCCCAGAAAATGGAACAGGGAATGTCTAGACCTCAAAGGACCAAAGAAATTTCTCTAGACCCTCGTTTTCTTGGGATGAATAAATCACCAGTGTAAAGTAGTGTCAATGTGATCATGGGAGGGGAAACCACCTTCAAAGAGTTCTGAATTTTGAGAAAAAACATGAGACACAAGTTCACGTGGGTAAGGCATCCTCATAAAAACAGAAAACTGCAATGGTGGCACGAATGGCTCCCTACAACCCACGCCCCCTCCTGTGGCCCCGCACGTCAGGGTGCAGTGAGAGCATTCGCACCGAGCGGGAGGAGGGCCTGGAGGGTTTGGGCTTGGATTGCCCTCCTGAGCGGTAGGGTGCGGGAGGTAGCCTGGGTCTACTGATTCTTGTGGCAGTTTCACCAGGTGGATAGGAGGACCCTAACCCTTCCTCTGCCCTCCTGTATTTCCCAGGCTGGATGCATGCTGGGTACCCCATCATGTGCCATCTGGAGTCCGTGCAGGAGCTCATCAATGAGAAGCTCATCAGAACCAAGGGGCTGTGGGGCCCCGTGCACGAGCTGGGCCGCAACCAGCAGCGGCAGGAGTGGGAGTTCCCACCGCACACCACCGAGGCCACCTGCAACCTGTGGTGTGTTTATGTGCACGAAACAGTCCTGGGCATTCCTCGAGGCCGTGCCAATATTGCCCTGTGGCCCCCGGTTCGGGAGAAGCGTGTCCGAATCTACCTGGGCAAGGGACCCAATGTGAAAAACTGGAACGCGTGGACCGCACTGGAGACGTATTTACAGGTACTGGACAGGAGGTGGGGGAGGGCAATGGGAGGGAGACCCTCGCTGTGAGGACCAACAGGGCCAAGTGTTAGATGATCTTCTAGCCACCCAGGAGACCCCCACTGCATCTGTCTCCCACACTCAGCCATGGGAGACGCGCGGACAAGGCCCAGTGTAAAAGTCCTATTGGGTGAGGCCTCTCGGGCCTCACTTTGCATGATCCTAGAGTGGACTTAGTAGCCTCAGCTGCACCCCCAGGGAGGTGAGAAATCTTAAAACCCTTGGAGGCAAACACAGTACTGTAAAAATATACTCTCTTTCTCTCTGGTCTTAAAGGCAGACAGACCCTCAATTGAAGCCAAACTTTCTACCAAACAGCTAGCACCAAACCACCCCATTCACGCACTGCTCCTGGTTATGACCTGTCTTCCCCTCATTGAGCGTACCCTCTCCTCATTATGACCTGGCTGTGCCTCAGACCCCACCTCAATAGGCAATCCACGCGGCATCCTCACTGCCCTGGGCACGGAGGTCGGCTTTGCCTCTGAGTGCTCCATGCCCTAGACGGCTGCCCCCACCAGTGCCTGGATCAGTTCCCGGCTCACAGTGGGGCGTGGCATCGCCTGGGGTCAGGCCAGGCCTGCTCTATTCTGGTTCTTCCACCTGCTCAAGTTCCTCTCTGCCCGTTCTCACTGCCAGGGCAATGGTGTGAAGTCATCGGGGAGGCTCTGTTTTCACTTTCTTGTTAGGGGCAGGAGCAAATGTTCCTCGTCCGTGAAGTAAAGTTAAGTCAGTCTAGGGAGCTGCCCAGGGGCCTCTGTGCTCAAAAACTCTGAAATCCCGGCTAGCATGGACTCTAGGCATGGCCTTGGGATGGCTGCCTGTTTCTAAAACTATGACTTCTTGGTTCTGGCTGACTAGACTACCCGTGGTCTCCCACTCCTACCTGAGTCACTCCCCCTGCCCCCAAAGGCCATTTGGGTAGCCTTGTGAACTGACCCAGACCTCTGATTATTGAGGATTGCAGCACAGGGGTGGGAGTTTCCCAATTACTGGAGTTTATTTAACCTTGTAACTATGAAAGATAATAAGGATCCATCCACTTGGTCGGTTTTAAGACCCTGTGTAACATCCCATTGTTATTTTCGTGATCTTGTGAGTTAGGTGAATGATGATATTGGTATAAAACATCAATTTTAATTATTGCAGCAATCACACCACAGCCATGTCTGCCTGCTGTCTGCCCCAAGGCCCTTCTTAAGATCAGAAAGTGGGAGAACGGGACATGAGGGCAGTGTGCAGAACAGGAGGGAAGGCCAGGGGTGGACATGAAGCCCACGCTCAGGGAGTTAAGCACATCACACTTGTGTTGTTTGCGGGGCCCTCTTTCTGTAGGTTAGACGTCTCACCTGGTTTCCTCTTTCTCTTTCTAGCTCCAGGAAGCCTTTGGCTGGGAGCCATTCATCCGTCTCTTCACAGAGTACAGGAACCAGACCAACCTGCCCACAGACAATGTCGACAAAATGAATCTGTGGGTCAAGATGTTCTCCCACCAAGTGCAGAAGAACCTGGCTCCGTTCTTTGAGGCCTGGGCCTGGCCCATCCAGAAGGAAGTGGCTACCAGCCTGGCCTATCTGCCTGAATGGAAGGAAAATATTATGAAATTATACCTCCTCACACAGATGTAAGGAGTGCCCATCGAGGTGGCAGGTAGAGAGGTTTGGGGAGGTAGGCAGAGGTGGGGGTTCAGTCCTCTACCTCTGTCTGCTAGGGTTCTGGCCTTGTCCTCTTAGCTCACTGCCGAATCTCATTACTGACTTCTGTCTCTAGGAAGTGGGTTAAGAACACAGCAAAAGTGAAGTCAGAATGTCTCGGGAACAAGGCCTCCCGTCCATGATTCTGCTCCTCTGCTCTCAGTTGTCAGATTGCCTCCTGACTGCCGTCAGCCGTGTCCTGAGAGCTTGGGCACCAGTTTCTAGACCGGCCCTTGGTATATGGCCATAGCCCATCGATAGTGGCTCTTACTTTGACATCCTGTGGACTCTCTCTGGCCTTTTATTTGTTATTAGTTGCTCTAAAAATCTGGTGATAGAAGGTTACTGCACAAATCCACCATGACAGCTAGACAGCTCTCTGACGACTCATGTATTTTGTGTCCTGCCTAGTTGTCAAAGCACTTTAAACGCAGTCTGGTAGAGCAGGAAGAGCCAGAGCTAGGGTTTGCTCTTGGGAAAGTCATTTGACCCTGCATTCCCATTTCCCTGTGTATGAAAAGGGGATGAAAGTCCCTGCCTCACAGGGTTGTCATGAAGATATGCAGTGATAATTGTGAAGTCTTGTAATATATATAATGCATGCCATTTAAGGGACTTGTGTGCAGAATAGTGAGTTCACTGCTTCCCATTCTCTGCCCATAGCTTAGTGGTGACAATCATCATTCCAACTAGTCGACTCCTTGTGTTCAAATTCTAGATCTTCCTTCTGTTGTCCCTGGCAGTTTTCTTACCTTCTCTGTGACTCAGTTTCCTCCCATAAAATGGGATCTATTTTCACAGAATTATTGTGAGGATTCAGTTTTCCCCGACTCTAAAAGTCATTAGAACAGTACCTGGCAACTAGTAGGTTTAGAGAGAAGGTCAGTTGCCATTATTATTATATAATTAGCTCACTAATTATTTTATAATTATTTTAGGAATAGATTTCAGTTTAGATGAAGTTTGTAAATACAGTCATAATTTTTAACAGATGCATAAAAATATAAAAATTATAGTATTAATGACGTATCCTGCATGGTTGCAATATATGTATGTAGTATGCATTTAAATGAGGTGAACATATCTGTTGCCTCAAATGTCTATCATTCCTTCATGGTGAACACATTCAAAATCCTTTCCTCTGGCATTTTAAGATATTCGGTACATAATTATTACCTATTCTAGCTTATTCTATGTTTTATACACCAACCTCTGCAAGGCTCGTGGTACATTGATTTATGAATCCCAAGGAAGGACTCTCAATTCACAATGGTGTCTTTTAAAACTACTAAAAGTGTAGTCTTTTTACTCAGTTCTATTTTTCAGGAAAAGAAAAGAACCAAAGGAATTTTAAAAAAGAGTCAAATCCCCTTTTTGATTAAATCAAAAGTGAATGTCTTGAAAACAAAACAATTCCATGATGGTGTTTGTCCTTAGCAAACAGTGGGCATCAGCCTCTGGTGGAGTTCCTATGTCCCCAGTGGCAGTAACTAGACAGTCACTGTGGAGTTACCTACCACACATGCCTACAAAATATCACTTTGGAACAAGACAACTAGATAGAGCTCATCCAGTTTCTTTAAATAGCACACGTTCATAGAGTCTCCTGTTTACTTCTAGTTTTGTTCAGAACTTCCCATTTTTTTATAGCTTTCCGGTCTCCAAGGCCGATGTGCATATCCAGACAGTTTTCCTTGATTTAGCTCACATTTATTTTAATGGATCCTTCCATTGACTTAGTTGGTAAAATGGGTGGCTGCGTAGAAAATAAGATTTGACCTACACCCTGCTTTCCTCTGGATTTCATTCCACTTCTCCCTCCTAGAATTACTTCCCCTTATTCCATGACTATCCATGGTCCAGGTTCTTCAAACCTGAATATTCATTCTCTATTTTAAATAACTGCTGTCAACTGTAAGGCGTTGACTGTGTGCCAGGTACTGTACTACTAGTTCTTTTCTATAGATTGCTTCACTTAATCCTCACCATAATTTTATGAGATGGAAACTATTATCAACTCCCATCTGATGAATGAGCGAACTGAATATTATGGAGATTCAGTAAATTATCTAAAGCTATATTGCTAACAAGTGGTAGAACAGGGATTTGAACACAGGCATTCTGATTAGAGAATGGGGGGGTTCATAACTACAGTGCTGAAGGGCCAAATGAGTGAGCAATAAAGAAGCCAACCAGCCAACAGAGGGAGTTCTGTCCCTCCTTACCAGAGCTTTGGCTCTGGTACTCCTCATCTCATTTTCTTAGAACAAAGGTTCCTTTGTTGATCCCCAATGCCAGCACAAAGGAAGGACTTCAGGTAGCCTCCCGAGGCACTTTGCAGGTGGCTGGGTGAGTTCTGTGGACCTAGCAAGTCTTTAAGGTTCAAGGTTTTTCAAGTTTCAGCCACTGTCCCCTGGGTCCCCGGAGAGCAGACTCCAGTTTATTGGATTTTGAGTGATGGGCTAGTCTGATAACGAGCCTTACTCCTCAAAAGTCTCCCACACTGCATATTCTCAGGGAGAAAATTAGATGCCCAATCTTTTAGAATGAAAGTGTATCTGTCCTTGCCCTCTTTAAGCTTAGCGGTAAAGCCCTGGGGATCTTTTAAAAATACAGAGTTATCCATGTTACCCCCCCTGTCTGAAGCCTCCAATGGGACTTGCAACTTAAGATGATGGACTGAACATGTCAGTTTGCCTCCCCTCCTTCCCCAGGCCCCACTGAAATTGAAGTCAAGAGACGGGAAGAGAACCGGCACACCTCGGCAAAGACAAAGGCATTTGGTGATACGTGAAGATGATCTCAACACCTTTCTGGGAGAGAAGAAGTGGAAGCAGCTTGATGAGAGCGGAGGTACCTTTCAGACAGATTAGAAGCTGATCTGAGCAACATGACCCCAAAGAGACTCGCGCATCAGAGGAGTCCCTTAACTAAAGAACTGTACCCGCTGTATAACTGACCCCCATCCCCACCCCGACCCCCTATCCCCCACCCCCGTGCACAGAACACAGGCGCCTGCTGTCGGTGCCAGTTAAAGATTCCTTGTTGTTGTTGTTGTCATTGTTGTTTGTATAAAGAAATTGAATAAACTGCCTGAGGAGAGGTAAGAGTCGGTGCTCCGAATAAAATTGCTCTTTTTGTGGAAACAAGTTCCCCCCACCCCCCCACCCCCGCCAGACTAAATCAGCTAATTTTCTTCGGAAAGTTGAGACCGCTACCCAAGAGCCCAGGGCTTCCATGCAGAGAAGCAGCCGGAGAAACAGACCTGTTCACACGACAGCAGAGGAAACGCCACCGACGCCTACCAGTCAGTAGTAGGGATTCTGGGATGGGAACTTTTAGCTAGGAAATCCCACACACAGAGGGCAGGAGGCAAGAGCAGGGACAGAACATAAGAGAACTAACCATGTAGAATTAGGGGTGTTGAACGTACTATAAACTCCAGAGGGAAAGAATAACTGAAAACTCACACCCTATCTTCAGAGAGATCAGAGATGCATTTGTAAAATGGTAACGGGATGCTGCGAAGAAAGGGAAAGCTGTGGATAACAAAAGCCCCTTGAAAGCAAAATAAGACTGAAAAGTCCCCCGTGGACAGGCTGGAAAGTGAAGTTGAGGGTCTCCCCAGATGTAGAGCAAAAAGAAAGAGAAAATATGAAGGAAGGAAAGAGACCTAGACAATCAATATCAACCACTAGCCATTCCTAGAAGGGAGAACACAGAGAAAGAATTGAACAGTAGAAGAACAGGTTGAGGAACCCCAGTTCTACCAACACCTAGACAGCCTTCCAGAATTTTGGATTATTAAGAAATGTGTCCAAGGAGAAAAAAACTTAAAATTAGTTCAACTAAAATCGGATGAGAAATAGACTGGCAGCAGAGTTTTCACCAGGGACCCTGAATGCAAGAAGTCAAATGGCAACAATGTTTTCACACAACTTCTGGAAGACATTGGTTCTGGGAATTCCGTAGAAGGCAGGCGGTCAAGAAGAACACCAAGGTGAAGACATGTTCTGGCATGCAAGTTTCAAAGTCTGCCTTCTTTCACCCTCCCTGAGGGAGTACCTGGAGGAAGTTTCCCAGAAAAAAGAAATGATGAAACCCAGGAAAGAAGACGAAATAGGATCCATATGGACCTCACCCCAAGATGTCTCACTCTAGAGTGACGTTCATCTGGAAGGACGTCTCTCTGAGTGACAGTTGTCCAGCAGTCCCTTTTTGGGTGAGGGTGCATAGTCTTCGGCTCTATGGAGAATGTGCATTCGGGGCCGTAGGTAGTATCACTGAGAAGCTGGAATGTTTGAAAAGAAACGCAGTCTTTAGTCAACAAAAAAAGAAAGTTGAATAGAAGATGTCAAGAAATTCCAGTCCAGTTATGAAGCAAAATAAAATGGGGCATGATTTGGGTTACTCAGAGTGTGGAGGAAGACTTGAGTTGACATTGACGGTAGGTATGTTTCCTTTCCAGTGATCCAGGCACCATGGCATGAGGGGTGTGGTGAAAAGACGGCCTGGCTGCTACTTGGCTCTCAATATAAAGTATTTTCCCACCCCAAATCTTGGAGATGCCATTTATTGTCTTCAGTGTTCTGATCAACTAACTGACGAAATAAAAATGGCTGAAGTGTTTTTATTCAGAACTAAAGCTAAATGTAATGCTGACAAATTAGGGTAAAAGAAACCAGAAAGAGGTGGAGAATTAGCTGAGGCAAGAAAAGTAGAAAGGACGTTTAGGGCTACTTATATGTTCAAAGTGGGGGTAAAAAGATAAGGTATTCAATTAATAAAACAAAAAATAGACAATTAGTGCATCGATCAAAGCTATAAATTAAACCAACAAAAGTATTAAAAACAACATATCTATCAAATATTTGGAGAAGTATGGGCAAAGGAAAAGTACAGAGAGTGTAAGCTAAATCCTTATCTTTTGTAATGGGGAATTATCAAAGATTGTCTAAAGTTAATCAAGAAATTATTGTTCAAACATTATTTAAAGTAGAAAGTTAGTTACCAGAAGATCCAAAAAATATTGTTAAAAGTATCTAGGGAACTGGACTAGGGTTTAAGGGGTCGGGTGGGAAACTGTGATTTTCATTTTAAGTCCTTCTGTACTATTTAATTTTTTACCTTGTGCATGTATTACTTTGAAACATTTTTAATAAAGTCAAATAAAAATCCTTCTGTGGCTTCACATTGGCTAAGATACAGTCAATCAAACCAACCTCTTAACATAGCTTGCAAGGCCCTCAACCATATGGATCCCCCTGATATCTTCAGGCTCATCGTCACATGTCCCCAATACTCTGCAGTTCTAGCCACACAAATGTAGGCTGACAATTCAAGGAAAGCTTCGCTTTCCCTTGTTTCTACAGGTGGTCCACAGAAAACAAGCCTTCTGCTGGGCTCACCATGACTAGTGATTACGCTTGCTGTCCAGCAGGTTTGCAATATTTATTAAATGAAAGAATGCTCAAGGAGGCATTGCATGAAGATTGCCAACTAGTGTTCTTTTCAAGGCTGTGAATTCTACCCCTATTCTGGGAAATACTTCAAGAAGAACCACATAGAGCTGGAACCTTTTCTGCACACTTATTCACTTGACAGCTTTAACAAATTTTAGTCCCACATAAGACCAGCTGGTGGTGTCAGAGGATTTCCGTCCATCTGTCAGCCCTTTCCTAGGTCCCTGGCCACTTTCCCTGTGCATTATCATCTGTTTCACCTATTTTCTTCCTGAACTTGAGAGAAACAGGCTACCAAGTTTCTTGTGCCCTACTGTCCCGACTACTTTAGTAGCTGTTCCTTCTCCATCCTTTCAACATTTCTGTCTTAAAATAAATATTTACATAGGAGACCTCCCCCGCCACACACCTGAGTTAGCATCTCTCCTATGGTCCATGTATCAGGATCTGGAACCAAGATTTACCCTCACAGATGAGAGTCATTCCCAGGTTGTTACTGTCACAGCAAAAACCAAAATTCTTTTTTATCTTCCACCACACCAGCAAGTCTGCATTCTTGTGAAAGGAAACTGAAATACACCATTAGCTTCTTTTCCCCTATTGTCTCACTCCCAAGATCAACTGAAGCTCTCTAATGAGTACTAACCTCACAGCCAACCTTCAACAGGAGCATTTGTAACAAACCCTTTCTCTCCACTCTCCATAGGATCAACCTCTAATACACCTACTGGATAAATTCCCTATTGGCTTCCATTTTGAAAAGGGTTTCTTCCTTCCATCTCCCACATTGTCAGGATCAATCTTCCAAGTACAGTAGAGAATGGGTAGTGGAAAATTCTCAACTTCCTAAGGATATTTCTTCTAACCACAAACACACACAAAATACTACATCTAAATTGAGAGAATATAGAAATGGTATTTATGTCTTTGGATTCTGGCACATTTCAGTGCTGTATAGAAGAAGAATTTCTTTGAGAGGAGACCTAGGGCAGTTTGAGTAACTCAATATCCTACCTCAGGTTGGGTCATCGGTTTCCTAACTGCTCATTCAATAGAGAAATGCTGAATAAATGAATGGATAAATAAATAAGAGGAGAATAGAAGTGATTAAAAATCAACCAACAAAAAAAAAGCCATGTTTTGACCAGTAATGACAGTGTCAGGAACCAAGGTTAATATTAATACAAGTCTGGGCACCCAAGGGCCATTAAAGTTACATCTGTTCATAGAAACTTAAATATGCATAATTATTTAAGAAATATGAACATGTAGGCACTAAAAATCATTAGTAATCTGAATTTTGACATAATGCTCATTTTCACAAACTATCCAAATTCTTTATTGCAGTTTAAAGTCTGAGACAGAGCCCAAAGGGTGGGAGGGAGGAGGGTGAAATGATCAAAGATGCAATACACAAACAATCTTTCAAGGGGTCCAGAGGAGGCCCCACTACATGGAAAAACGACCCCTCCCCTTCCTGAATGAAACTCATATTTTTTTTACAATCTCGTATGATTGGGCCCCAGCACGCACAGTGGGCTGAACCTATGCCTGGGCCTGCTGTCTGTAGGGTGTGTGCTTTCAACAGGAGCCAAGAACCTGGAGCGAGGTCCTAACTTTCTCTACTCTTCACCAAAGTAAATAGAGGTTGGAGTGGCAACTCCAGCACTTTTTATAAACATAGGGTTTCTCCTTTTATTCTAGCTGTCTTTGTAGCCTTAGAGACAAAGAATTATAAAGAAATTATTAATAAGCCTTAATTAAGGCCTTTATCATTTACTCACAAGAAAACCGACACAAAGAGATCGTGTTTGTGGCTTGCTCCTCAATACCTAGAGCAGACTTAAATCCTGGCTCCTCATGGGAACCACAATAATCTATAAAAAGATAAGCAGCTGACTCACATCTGTAGTGCAAGAGGGGCCTTTGGTATAAAGCCTAATGGATCCCCAGTAGTGGAAACAGAAGGGCCTTTTAATGTGGAGGGAGAATGCTCTCAGGATTGCTGAATAAATGAATGGATAAATAAATAAGAGGAGAATAGAAGTGATTGCAGAACCACCATCCAGAACCTGTAAGAACACACCTGTAGTTGGATGAGTTGGATCTACTACTCATTGCAGACAGGAAAAATGCACTCGGTAACTGGGGGCATCTCTGCCAAAGGGTGTTAAACAGAACCTACTATAGGTGTGGAGATTCGGGTAAACAATTTGGGGGAGAGTCTCAGGAAGCCAGGTTTTATTCTGGGTTAGATACTGTCAAGAAACAGGGGAAATTCTATGATGGAGGAGCTCTCAGTACATCTTATCCATCTATCCAGGGTACTGAAAGTTGAAGAATATGACAATGACAACCCCCAAAGCAGTGTGGTCTGAGAAGAGGGAGGGAGGAAGAAGACAAAAGATAACTTTAGTCATTTTCCAATACATCGTTTCCCAGTGACAAGAAAATCCCTGGGAAGGAAGCAAACCTCATCTAGTGACAAGTCAATCCCTGGGAAAAGGATGAGCATTAATCTTTTCCCAATAAATCCTTTCCCAGTGACAGTGCAATAGACCCTGGAGGGAAAGAGGTACACACTGAATGCTGAACTCTGGACCCTCCATCCTTGTCCAGGGGGAAGAATAAATATCATTGCCCAGTTAAAAACAAGTTTCAAACTCTCACAACCTGTTTCCTGAGTGCCCCAACTGATATTTCTCTTAAAATCTTCAATGGTCAAATCACTTCTCAGTGTAACCTATGTAAGCACAGATTCCTCCTGTAACCAGTGGCCATTTCTACCCGATGCCTGACTGATTAACTCCACGGCTGAATAAAAGGCATAGCTGATCCATGAAGTCTGCTCCCATTCCTAGTTATTTGTGTTTTCATCATGGTGCTGAAACCTTTTGGGTTATTTTTGCTTACAAAAATGACCATGATCTTATAATGTGTGTCTGTGTGCTAGAGATTGAACCCAGGTCCTTGCATATGCTAGTATGTGTTTGCACCTGATTTATTTTTTTTTAAAGTAGTAGATACTGGCTGTAGAGAAGAGAGGAGTATGTTTGTGGGTTGCACAGTAAACTTGTTTGTGTCTCACTTTATGATCTTAGAGTCCCTATTCTTTTTTTTTTACAGGGTTCAGAATTTCCTTTTTTAAAAAATTATTTATTTTATTTATATATGACAGCAGAATGCATTACAATTCTTATTACACATATTGAGCACAATTTTTCATATCTCTGGTTGTATACAAAATATATCCACAC